AAAGGGAGTCAAAGATCAAATATTTTAATTGTCTCGCCTACTTATGTGTTTTTTTTTAATTTTTAGCCTATTTTACGACATTATTTTCAGGAATTATTGTGACTTAATACACGTCGTTAATCCATAGTAGATACATTTAAGGCATAGTCTAAGGAAGGCTTCAGCAGACAAGAAGACGCCTATTGTCGGCATGATACGGGTTTTGTATAACCAGTGGAGCCTTGCAAGGGACAGAACGACCATTTGTCTTAATTTGTGCGCAGTGAGAGCGAATTAACGCTAACAACCGGTTGGAGAGCATTTTTAACTGTTATTTAATTATGTTCGTTCATTATTTCATGTTTTATAATGGGATAATTACTTTGGTACAGAAGTTAACGCGTGGTTATTAGCGTACTTTAATTTACATGGTTCATTTCTTTGAGTTGAATATCTAGTAAGTATGTTACATTTTTCAATGATACGCTTTTTACATTCATCAAAATGATACCCATTATTCCAAAACGATGATAGTGCTGATGATGGATTCTAGGCCGTCTTGTAGGACAAGACATATACGGTTCACCATAGGCCTTTCCGAATGACTTCATAAATTTTCATAATTTCTTTGATCAAAATCTTGTATTTTTCCAATCTATATACTCAACAAGTATCGAAAACTCATAAATTCGATTGCATCATAAAGCTAGAGGCTATTGTCTGCCGTGTGGCCCAATTACATAATATAAGGGCATCGGTTCACTTATTCGCATCGTCACGCATCTCCTCGCGCCATTACGCATAGGTTAGCTCGGGGACTAATGCTGTCTTGTATGGAGCCAACCAGATAGTAGGTATGTACTTACGTTAAATGGAAAGTATCTGACTGAAAAACAATTGAGAAATATTAAAAGTCTATTGTTTTGGTCTTAGAGTAATTAACTCATATCTAATAAAATAATACAAAATGACTAAATGATTTAATTTTATGCTAGTTATGTATATAAACATATATTTTTAAAAGAGTAACTTGGAGTTTCTTGCTTGTACTTCTCCATTCAAATCTACATTTTGGAACGAGCGCCCAGTTTCACTGACGGACAGACTGTCAGACTATTATTTTCATGTTTCATAAGTACCAAATGATGTTTTAATTGAAATAAATGCCTTGACTTTGTACCTATATATTTTTTTGTTCAAAAAACCCCAACAAGTTTGAACATCGTTTTAACTGAACCCAAGTCGAAGCCTTACTTAGGCATTCGAGAATCACACTTTTAATAAAAAGCAATGAGATATGTGTATATCCTATAATAAGAGCTCTTTAAACAAACATACACGACTGATGACTCAGTAGAACACATGTTTGTAACTTGACAAGCAAACTTATTACTATAGAGTTGACCTCAGACCTCATTGAAAGCGTCTTTTAGACATTTATACAATAATACAGTCACGACTATGCAGTCACGATTAACTAAAGGTTAGCCACAGTAGTATAATTAAGTGGTTTGTAGGATTTTACACAAAATTATGATACTAGTCATGAAACGTCATTAATTTACAATCGTTTTAGTGGCAATGATTATTGATTATACAGTTGCTTGGTTATATTTTAGGTAATGCGTATGAAAGACATTAAATCTCGGTTTTATTTTGTGTTAGCATGTAGTTTTAAGTGCTTATAGGCTTAAATTTTGATATTTTTTTTATGTTCATGCCATGTTATATACAGTGTCTTAGTTTTTACTGTTTTTCCTGTCGAAGAACTGCAGGAAGAGATTCCTACGGGAATATGTAGTACCTATGTACCTTCAATTTATTGATATATATAATAATATGTATCCTGTGAACCGTCTGTATGTTGTGCAAATAAATAAATAAAATGACTAAAATAATTGAAAGCTACAAAAGTCCTCAACTTAACGTATTAGGTATAACTTTTGAGGTTAGGTACATAAAATATACCTACGTATTGAGTTACCTTAGAGGAAAACAAACTTCAATACACATAATTATAAACTTGCATACAAAAAACTCTGTCAAACTTCAATAAATCACAGTAATTTGTTTCCACAAGCCACGTGGGATTGTAATCAGCTGATGCCCGATATGATTCAGTGACCTACAACACTAATCATGATAATGCCTTCCAAATTGTCATACTTCAAATATATTGAAAAATAATTCAGTTTCCAGGCCAAGGCCTGAAATATAGGTTAAGAAAAACTAAGGCATCATTAATAACAAATCAGTTGTTACTATTCAAATCGATATCAACTGTATGCAACTTCCTATAAAGTTTTAAACGAATTTGAGACTTAGTATAAAACAGTAGGATTGAAAATAAATTGGAAAATGTTTAGTCATTTCCGACTTTTGTATTGTAATGCGTTCGTACAAGGTTAGGAGGGAAAGAGATGGGTTTATATGGGGTTGTGTTGGTGAGACAAGGAGGGATAGGGAGGAATGCAAGGCTAAGAGGTCGCAGGTAGTACAGTGACCTGACCTACATTCGGTTGCAGGGTACCGTGTAAATATTGATTTACTGACCTTTTCCACTTGTTGCTGTATGCTCCAAGACGTTTCCACGGGTTTTATACGGTAAAACATTTATACATTAGAAAAGATGAAAAATATAAAGAAAAGTTAGAGCATTGTCATAAGCAAGTACCGATCAATAATTTATAGTGAAGCAAGTTGTTGTGGTTGGTATCCATCCCTTATTAATAATTAATTCCTACAGACTGCCTCGTTGACCGAGTGGTCGCAAGTGCGACTGCCGGGCAAGGGGTCTTGGGTTCGATTCCCGGGTCGGGCAAAGTATTATTGGTTTTTTTTAAAAAAAAAATCCTCAGTAGTAGCACGGAGTCTGGAAATGTGCCCGGTATATGGCAATAGGCTCACCCCCTATTACATGGGACTCATAACATAAATAGTGAAAAGTGGGTCTGTGTGCACCTCTGCCTACCCCTTCGGGGATAAAAGGCGTGATGTTATGATGATGATGATTCCTACCGACCTTCATATTATGAAATATCGATATATACTTATGTACTTATATTAATCTAACTAATCTTCAGCCGTTCTGCGTATAAAAGGACCGACATGGAAAATATTAAAATCTTAAAGCAAATCTTAAAGCAAAGAGAAAATATGTTTTTTTCTCAAGGACGGAACCCAGCCCCAGTCGATATTGAATTTTAATCAGTGACTCACTGATTAGCCGGGGAAGGTGAAACATTAATCAAGATATTCCTGTTTACTCAAAGGGAAAATATTTCCGTTCTTTGATTACAGGCTCTGGATATTTCCTGGTATTAATATTTATTTTACGGAGGAATAGGAGGGTTAAATATTAATATGGATGATGTTTTAAATCTGAATGGTATTTAAAAATCAAACGGTAGATTGATTTTTGCATAAAATATACATAGACGTGGTTAAATTTAGAATGAAGACCCGGTACTTTAAAAAACCTTAGTATCTTTTTTAGGGCAGGAAAAAATTCATATTCTTTTTTTTTAAACCGTTGCCACAATAGGATTTTCTCCTGTGTCATGGATGCGTTTACAAACAAACAAGTTAACATACACATGACACTCAGACCCGAAACAACAAGAGTGGATCACACAAAGAGTTGTTCCGTGCGGGAATCGAACCCGCGGCACATTGCTCAGCAGCCGGTTGCCCAGTCAGCAATTCATATTGTATTGTATTCTTATTGTACAAAATTCTAGCCATTTTTGTTTTAAAACACTATTAGTATTAGTGTTTTTCAGTACGCTATTCTATCATATCTTGGCCAATATCTACTAGCTTTTTAAACGTCAAAATTATTGATTCTCTATTGAACAATACCAACCACTAACCAGTATCTTGTTCCTCACAATATGCAAATCCACGGCACAATATGACAGATGGTGTAACTAATGGCTATTGTTCTATGATGTACTTGGTTGTAGACAAGCCCTTAGCTTTGAGCAACCATTAGACATTTAGTTTAATTGCAACACGTGCCGTTGTGGAAGAGCTTCATTGAATAGTTTTGTTTGTAATATATATTATTTATAATTTATTTTTATATATAATAATGAATATAATGAAACAAAACTGGTACTAATTCGTTTCATTCTTGATTTTATTTCCTTTTTTTATCTTTTATTGCTTTTTTTTGTTACATTAATGCGGCATCGTGCCTGGGGCTAAATACATGTTTTTTTTCTTTCTTCTGTATTTCTTCTTTCTTTCTTTTATTCGTCTACCCTATTCGTCTCCCGAATATTATAGGATGACTAAGAAATTAAATAATTAACTGAGACAAGACAGCAGTGCTTTCTGATGAACCTGAACTTTTTAAATCTTATATACTATACTATTATAATATAAAGCTGAAGAGTTTATTTATTTGTTTCTCAGCAACTACTGGTTCGATTTGAAAAAATCTTTTTCTATTGGATAGTCCACTTAGCGAGGAAGGCTATGTGCTATAAAACATGACGCAACGATAAATAGGAGCCGAGAAGAGCGGGTAAAACTGCGCGGAAGGAGCTACATAACATAACATCACGCCTTTTTATCCCCGAAGGGGTAGGCAGAGGTGCACATTACGGCACTTAATGTCACTGTACAAT